AAATTCTTCTAGTTGCTAACGACATTTTGTTTGCTGTTTATAGATACTTTGTTTTAATAAATTCGTTTTGTTTTTAACCTTGAAAAAGTCCACATTGACGAAATGTGTCAGCTGAAAGTACAGTTTTTCTATTGGCTTTTTCCTTAATATATACCAGTATATGCATACATATATCTGAATACTGACCAGACTCATTGTTAACTTTCTTGATTGGATGAGTACCTATATTAGAACATGATATATCCATAAGGTCTTCATTATAAAAATCCCAGTCTTCCTTACTATCTCCTAAAAACATTAGTTTGAACACCAAATTATCTCTGACAAAATCTGAACTTTGCCAATTTCATGTTTCATGCCATCGACTGTTAAGCCACTCACACCTCAATATACACTGACCTCATTCTCACTGACTCACCCAACTCCTGCAAGGTTTTGTGATCTGTCAGTTCAGAAGCACTTCCATATATCAAGATCTTCTTGTATATCACCTTTCCTAAAAGAATCACTACTCTTCCAAGTCAACGTACACAACACATATATATCAAGAAATTAAAAGAAAATGGCTGAATTGGTCAACACAACAATACAAACAATATTTCTACATGTGAAAATATTCTCTTCAAACATAAAGTAATTGATGTAATTTTTCAGTTGATCATATGAGAATGAATATACAATAGCATTTCTAAATTCTAGATGCTAATGACACCTTGTTTGTTGTTTATACATATTTTGTTTTAATAAATTCATTTTGTTTTTTACCTTGAAAAAGAACACACTGGATGAAACGTGTCAGCTGAAAGTACAGTTTTTCTATTGTCTTTTTCCATAATACTTACCAGTATATACATACATATATATGAATACTAACCAGACTCATTGTTAACTTTCTTGATTAGATGGGTACCTATATTAGAAGATAATATGTCCATAAGCTCTTCACTATAAAAAATAGGTATCAGTTGTTAAAATGAAAAAAAAGAAACAAAGAAAATGTTATTGATATTTTGTATTTATAAAAAATAACTTTTTTTTTTGTTTGGACTCCAAATCTTGTGTTTTAGATTTCAGAACGCTTCCATGATTGTAGCAATAACATAAAAACAATCTTTTTTTCATTATGGTGTTTGTCTTTCCCTCAGCAAATTTTATTCAGCCAATGAAAAAGTCAAGTCAATTAATTGATTTCAAATCCCAGATCAACTTTGGCAATAAAGGAAGTTCATTTTTCTGGTCTGTGTTTGTTTTATCGAAGGAGTAAATGACTTTGTTGGTATTTTGGGATGAGTTCAGTTTCAAAACAAAGTATCACAATTTTTGATGAAAGATACTTTGGGTATTAAATTATTATTATTTCTGATGACTTCTGTTTCATTGGATAAGTGATTTTTATTAACCATTATGGAACAGTTTTGTAAAGTTTTCAAAGTTACATCAAAAGAATTGGCTAATTTCAAGTTATTGGGTTGGCATTTTTAAACAATATTGATTATGAAAAAAGAAATATAGCAATTCAACAATAACGTTATTAAATTATTATTCCAGAGCATATGATTGACACAAATTTTTATAACCTGAAAATAAAATAATATTTTAATTGAAAAAGTAAACGAAACAGCAATTTCTGTTGACAAATAACTGGCCTACAAAAACGCCTGATAATTATGCACCAACCCAATATATTGTATTTGATATATAGAAATTTAGGGAGTGTTTAGTACTTGGACAAGATGAATATGTTAAAATGCTGGTGCCTGTCACAATGGAAATTAACTGGAATGTTTAAGATAAAACAAAAAAAACATATATAAATAGTATAACTTATAATGTATATATTTCAAAAGCCTCGAACTGACAGCCGCTTTATAGTATTTTTTAGTATTCCTATTTGTAAGTTTTTATGAAAAGATATATCAACAACAGAGATAATATAACAGGTTGATTCTAGTCTTGATAATCTACTTGTGTCTTGACTAGAAAATAAATCTCAAGTTTCATATTTACATTAAAAAATAAAAGTTTAAATTAAATCAAGAAAATAAATGAATATACACCCACATGCAAATTAATTGAAGCAACCACTAAAGTTTCCTTTCTTTCATCATACAGTCAGTTTTAGACCCACTGAAGTGATAGGGTGTAATCGATTTTTATTTTTGCCTTAGATTAGATCATTTGCAGTGGTGTGCAGTAATATGAATCTCTTTTTGGGGTGTATGATGAAATGTGTTTGGCCTTGAAAAATATTGCATCATCCGTGATTGCATTAGATTTTTATCATGCCCAGACATTATTGTTTTGACTGTCGATTAGTTGTCTTATAGCCATTTTCTGTGATGGATGTTACTCCAAGGAAGTGTATGAAAATTTGTAATGCTGCACAAACACACTGGCAAACCTTACCAGTGAACACATCAAAGTACTATAGACTGGCCTGGAAACTATGCTAATTTAAATCCAATCAAGAATCTGTGGTCAATCTGCAAGGAACGACTTTGTGGAATGGACATACAAAGTAATAACATGTGCACTGTTAAATGTTTCATTGGAATAATACAAAAAAAAAAAAAAGGAGTTTCTCCCTCTCAAATCTTTCAGTGAGTATTTTTGCCTCATAGAGAAACCACATGCCCAAAACTGCTAGGATTTTTCTCTCTCCCTCATTCAATTTCTCACTCTCTCTCTCTCTCTCATTCATTGAAAAGTAGTCGGTAACATTTCTCTGCTAAAATAAAAGCAGGTAATTAATACAGACCATATTTGTCACACTGTTTGACAAAAAAAAAAACAGAACTTTCTCCTTGTGTAAAGATGTCTAATTTAATTTTCAGTGAAAAGCAGAGTTCAACTGCAGTAGAATTATCACAAGAAAGTCGGGAAGACTAATGTAGACACAAATGTCGACCCACTATCAAACAATGGCAGTGGTAGCCAAATCCCCTTTTGAACTACACCTAACCACATATGATGTCTTGACAATGTTATAAAAAGAGAATAATAGTGAAATTAATCTGATTAACAAGGGCAGGATTCTTTCTCTAATATTAAAAGAATAGACACAAATATTTTTTTAACTATTAGTGGGAATTCTTAAAAATGCACTTCATGAAAACTCTCTACACATATATGGACAGTCATTTGTGTTTCTTGATGCACTTTTATAGAAATGCACTTTTGGTTATGGAAGCTTTATTAACATAACAACCAGCATACAGGCACACAACATGCAAAAAAAGAAAGAAAAAGATTGACATGAAAACAAATATGAAATGCCAAAAAGTCATTCCTTGGCAAAAGAAAATTCTGCTAAGTCGTAAGGGTAGGAAATAAAATGTGTTATCCGAAAATATGAAGTAAAAAAAAGAAGGATAGAAAATGATGACTGCAATGAATACTTACCCATGAGCTAAGAACAGGAATTTTGGAAAGAGCTGGCGGGTATTAGGGAGAAAAATATTTTAGAAAGAATTTTTTTTTTTCGTTCTTGTTTTCTGATTTATTTTTGTCACGTGTTTCCTTTTTACACACTGACAATCAATTTATGTGTGAACATGACGGAAAGGGGCCTGTTTTATTTTATTTTTTATTTATTTATTTCTCCATAAATAGATTCTTTGTCTTTTGGGTAATTCAGGGTATTGTTGAAAATTGTGTCCCAGGAGATGCAGGTGGAAGAGAAGTAGAGTCGAAAGAACAGAGAGGAAAGAGCAAAAGAAATTTAGTAGCGTGAGTGAATAACGAAAGACATTTAGGGAAGCGTATAAGATAAAGAAGAAACTAAAGTAGAAAAACATCCAATGTGTGAAGAGGCACAAGCTATTTATATTGTGTTATGGCTGACAAAGTGTCGTTAAGGATGATACTGAAATGTGCACCACAAAACATATACTGTTGCTCAGAAGACTGTATACACATTGGAAATCATTATATATATATATATATATATATATATATATAGAGAGAGAGAGAGAGAGAGAGTGAGTTAGAGAGAGAATCAATGCTCAGTTGTCCTATGTGACCTTCATAAGGGTAACTGAGCCTTGCACAAGTCCTTTGTAGTGGAAAGGTCTAAAGGTACATGAGAGTATATGATGATTTTTCTTTCTCTCTTTCTCTTTCTCTCTCACTGTCACCCCTCTCTCCGTCTGTCACTCTGTCTCCCCTATATATATATATATATATATATATATATATATATATATATATATTTATGTGTGTGTGTATGTATGTATGTATATTGAAAGAGAGTAAGAGTAGGCTTAAAGAAACTTTATTCTGTTTAGAATAATTGATACCAGCACAGTGACTATTTATAGTCCTCTAAAAACTAAAGAGTTCTTGAAAGGGAGGTAATCTTAAAACTCTTTATTACTTTATCCCACAAACACACACATATATATATTACTTCAAACATTACTTTTTAGTGGATACCCTTCTTTGAGTAGATAGTGTTTTTT